GGAAAATAGGCGTTGACAAAATAATAAAAAGTGTGGTGGGTGTGTGCCAGCCCAGCCCGCCCCGCGGCGCCCAGCCCTTGTTTGCCTGCAAGCCGTTTGGCGCCCGGACCCGGACTGCCGGACCAGTTTGGCTTGTCCTTATCGTCCTTTCCGTGTCGTGGCGCCTTGTCCTTGTGCTTGTCGGCCTCGCGCAGCGCAATGGCGCCGTGAGCCGAGCGAGGGGAGTTGAAGTTGTGTACAAAAGCTTCGCGCGCGCTCGTGTTGCCGAAGCAGCAGTGCCGTGCCCTGCCGTGCCATGCCGTGCCGTGCCGTGCTGAGGTGTTGGTGGTTGAGGTATTGGGCCCGACAGCCCGTGCCCGTCCTTGTCGTACGCAGCCCTTTGTGCGATGCTCGGAGCTCCCCTCCAACCTCTCCTGCCTGTCTGCCCCCCCCCCCTTCTCAAACGTTCGGCTTGCTTGATACAAACACTACAATGCGCCCCTACTCACCTACACGCATACCCGCCTCTGGGGGTACACCCCCCCCCCTCTCTCCCTCCTGTGCGTGCTAACTTCCCCATTGCGACACTGTGACGGACGAGGAGTTCGTTGACGCTCACGGAGTGTGTGTTCTTCTCCCAAACTTGAGGAACCTGCGTGTCGTTAAAGAGTGATGGAGAGACAGACAGACAGACAGACAGACAGACAGACAGACAGACAGACAGAGAGAAAGAGAAAGAGGGGGGAAAACACAGAGAGAGAGAGAGACGGAGAGAGAGAGAGAAAGGGGGAGAAAGAGAGAGCGTGGAGGGAGGTGATGCATCGCGGGCCGCCTTTAAATCAGCTTGTATTACGTATTCCGCGGACGCCATTACGGCCCCAAATTCACTTCCTGCTCTGTGTGGCGGGCCCTGGCAAATGACGCCGCCCCGCGCCGCGCTGCAAGGGGGGCCGGAACAAGATGAATGTGCGGAGATGAGGGGGTTGTATATTGCGGGGGGCGGGGGGAGGAGGACCTGCTGCGGCGCGCCGACGGGGCAAGTGTGATGGATCGGACCGCGAACAAAAGTAGTGCAGGGGGAGGAGGAGGAGGAGTGAGAGGGTGGAGCAGCGAGCGGCACGCAGCGCCCTTCCGCTCGGACATCGGACCGGAGGTGGTTAATGCGGCGTGTACAGCAGGTGCGGCACGAGGAGAGGATGGCCCCCCAAGCCAGGGCCCTCCGCGGGCCGGTGGAGGCGCCTCCTCACGGAGTAAATCATCAGAGTCGTCAGCGTGGTTTCTACCCCTTTGCAAGACCCGCGGGGCGTTAGCAGATATTCTCTCTCTCTCTCTCTCTCTCTCTCTCTCTCTCTCTCTCTCTCTCTCTCTCTCTCTCTCTCTCTCTCTCTCTC